CTCCCACCAGCAGGTTTTTTCCCCTCTCCCTTTACTTTGGACTCGGGGGGGGGGCCAAGGAACACCACTTTTGTTCATACCCCAGGGTGCTGCGTTATACATTTAGGTTTTGCGGGTTAAAACCAATTGTCTGTCTGTATAACTGTACTTATTGTATTATTTTAATAAACTGTTATTCTGACTTATAAATCTCTTTTTTGAGTTGAGTTCATTTCCCCAGCTGGTTAACTTTTAAACCAGTACAGGTCCCGAGGGCACCATCTCACCAGCATGTCGGTGGCGTTGAGGTAGCGCTTGCTGGCCATGCACTGCTCCAGCTTCTGAGGGACCTGCTTGATGTTCTCGATCTCGTCCAGCAGGTTCAGGACGTGCTTGTGCTCGATGCCCTCGATCCACAGCTTGCGCAGCTCGTCCCTCTTGCAGTGCAGCAGCATCTTGCAGGACAGCAGGTTCTCCTTCACCTGCAGCGACACGGCAAAGGGTTCGTTCAGCCCTTTCCCACGCTCACTTTAGCAGGAATTCCCAAAGACTGTAACCAAACCCGAGTTCCTCAATCTCTGGTTGCTCCTCTGGCTGAAGGGAACTGCACAGGACACACAAACTGGAACTTCTTCCACAGTGAAATGCTTTTTAATACAAGTTCTACACCACCAGGGAGTATTTGGAGAGGAGGTGATGTAAAATCAGGGAATATTTGGAGACGAGGTGATCTCAAATCATGGAATGTAGGGAGACGAGGTGATCTAAAATCAGGGAATATTTTGAAATGAGATAATCTAAAATCAGGGAATGTTTTGAGAGAAGGTGATCTAAAATCATGGAATATTTTTAGAGGAGGAGATCTAAAATCATGGAATATTTGGAGAGGAGGCGATCTAAAATCAGGGAATATTTGGAGATGAGGTGATCTAAAATCAGGGAATATTTGGAGAGGAGGTGATCTAAAATCATGGAATATTTGGAGAGGAGGTGATCTAAAATCAGGGAATATTTTGAAATGAGATAATCTAAAATCATGGAATATTTGGAGAGGAGGTGATCTAAAATCATGGAATGTGTGGAGATGAGGTGATCTAAATTCAGGGAATATTTTGAAATGAGATAATCTAAAACCATGGAATATTTTGAAATGAGATAATCTAAAATCAGAGAATATTTTGAGTGGAGGTGATCTAAAATCAGGGAATATTTTGAGATTCTCACCAAAGTGAGAAGTTAACTGAAGCACCACATCCTGACCAAACACCCACTCTCTTAATCAGGACCAAAAAACCTGACGTGCAGCTTTCCACAAAATCGATTTGGGATTTTGGCATCCAGCAGGAAGCTGATTTCCAGTGAGAGCTAATTTTTCCTGATCCAAACATTTCCCATCTGCCCATTAAAATGTTTTGGCACATCTCCTGCTTTCTTCAGCTTTGGTGGCCACTCCTTGAAACACAACTAGTTCAAAGTACAACCGTTTCCCTGATACTCTGGGCAGCACCAAATTTATTTTTTTTTGGGAGAGATACAGAAAATGTTTCATCAGAACATTTAAGAGGGAGTTTAATTCAACAATTCCTTTATTTATCAAGGCCATTACACCACTTGGAGAAACCCTCTGGTGTTTGCCATTCAGTTTGGTTTGGAGCCTCCTCTCTAAGTGGCAAAGTCTCTATTATTTCACCCCATTCAGGCAACATTAAGGTTTTTTCTCCTCTTTTTCTGTTCACACCCCCAGCCTGCATTCCCTGCTTTCAGGTTCTCCCAGTCTCCTCTGGTAAGGTCAGTGTAACCTCTCTTTTCCTGATTAATGCAAATCAACAATCCATATTAAAATGTGGAAGCAATTAGCAGCACAGCTTCACACATTGCCTTCACACCACTCTTGTTTTTGTGATAAGTTATGAATACTTGGGGTCCAACCTTTTCTCAGGCTGAACTCTCACTGAATTACACATGAAGAGAGACTCTCAGAAGAAGCCCTTCAATTTATTTTTAAATAATGAGCCTTTAAAGCTCTCCACAAATCCCACTTCAGCTGCACATTCTCCTACCTTGTTCACCAAAAAGAAGCTCAAAAAAAACCCCAACATGTAAAACACACTCAAGGACCAAAATATGGACACTTATAAGTAAAAATAGTTCCATTAAACAACCTCTGTCTGGAGGCAGGAGACACTGAGATTTCAATCCTGCACTCCAAAATGTCCTTCTGAAAAGAGTAATGGGGGAAAACCCTCAGAAAACCAACAGAAAACCTCATCTAAGAGAGTCACAAAAGCAGAGAGAAACCAAAGCACACACTCAGTTGATTTCAGACTGAATCCCTGTTCAATACATTAATTTAAAGTGTTTCACTGACCTGGCACACCATTATCATGGATTGCAGTGACAGGAGCCAAATTAGGTCAGCAAAACAATCCTGGGGCCAAGGAGGAATCTCACAAGACATTCCCACTCCTGCCCTTGCAAAGAAGATGATCAACTACACCCACATTTGGGAGCAGGGGAAGGAATGAAGAGCAAGGCTTTCAGAAGGAACTTCCCCCTTGGCAGCCCAAATTGGTTCTACTTTATAATTCAGTCTTACAGTGGCAACACCTCTTGTAGCTATGCTGGAAACTGCACCTTTCCCGACAGGAATTCACCCAGGAATTGACTACAAAAGGCAGATACTCCGAGGGATCCTGACTATCCATCACTTGTACAATTCCTAATGCAAATAAACACTAATGTGACCATCCACCTTCAGAGGGGAACATCAAAGCCAAGTCTGGGAATGTAACACAGATTGATGACAAACCAGAGCTGGGGCCTCCTCTGAGATCGGGTCAAAACCACTCCAATACATATTGACCAAAACTAATAAGAAAACTTAAATATCAAAAGGTCTTTTGCCCTCTCGGTCATTCTTCAAGGTGGGACCAAAAGGTCACACCACTCTCTGTTTGTTTTGACCTCTGCAAAGCTTCCTGCACTCTGGGAAAACAGGCCACTGGCTACAGCTGGTTTCAAATTTAGTACAATTGATCTCTGCTTTCAGAGTGCTGAGCTTGGTCCATAAATCCTACAGTGAACTCTTACCCCTGGAAAGCATCAGAACAGTCTGATTTTCTTTGAAAATGCTAAATGAATTTCAAAAACCAGAAGGGTCAGTCAGGGTAAATGTCTACTGCTCCTTAAAGCTGGTTTTAAAAGCTGGGACTTCCACAGAGCCACGAAAAAAAATTTTTAAAATAAATTTGGTGCCTAATTTGCAAAGTTTAGGTGCAGCAAACCACAGAGGAAGTACAAGACAGGAGAGCAAAGAACTAATCTGGTGCTGCAGGGAGAGAGCAGCTCAAACAAGTCCCCAGGCACGAGTGCCACAGTTATTTTTACTGGCACAGCACTGAAGGGTGAGCACTGAAAATGCAGGAAGATCCAGGGCCATGGAGTTCAGGTGCATTCACACAACACAACTGAGCTGGGAAATAGCACCAAAATTCGTATTCTGGGAGCTGATGAATCACCCAGACTGCTCAGGAGGCGGCTGGAGGCCAATGGATCAAAACAGGAGCAGATTAGATGGAAAGGTGTGAGCTCAGCAGCCCTCAGGACTTCAAACACCTGAGAGAAACATGCCCAGACAATAAATGAACGGGGACACCACAAAGCTTTACACTTCACTCCCACCTCTCAGTCTGCTTTTTAACTACTGCTGTTCTCAAAGAGATCCCAAAGGAAACGTGTGGCCGGCACGGCACAGCCTAGGACAAAGGAATTAGGGTTGGATGGGCCAATGGATGGCCCAGTCAGGCCAGAGGGACTTGGAATCAGGCCCAGCTCAGAATTAGAATCGTGGAATGGTTTGGGTTGGAAGGGAACTTAAAGACCATCAAGTGACACGCCTTGCCATGGGCAGGGACACCTTCCATTATCCCAGGTTGCTCCCAGCCCCATCCAACCTGGGCTTGGACACTCCCAGGCATCCAGGGGCAGCCATAGCTTCTCTGGGAAATCCATTCCAGCCCCTCCCCACCCTCCCTGCCAGCAATTCCTTCCCAATATCCCACCCAACCCTGCCCTTTGGCAGTGGGAAGCCATTCCCTGTGTCCTGTCCCTCCCTGCCTTGTCCCCAGTCCCTCTCCAGCTCTCCTGGAGCCCCTTTAGGTCCTGCAAGGGGCTCTCAGGTCTCCCTGGAGCCTTCTCTTCTCCAGGTGAACCCCCCCAGCTCTCCCAGCCTGGCTCCAGAGCAGAGGGGTTCCAGCCCTGGGAGCAGCTCCAGGGCCTCCTCTGGACTCTGTTCCAAAAGGTCTTTCTTGTGTTGGGGAC